TATATATATATATATATATATATATATATATATATATATATATATTTTAAGAAATTGGAATCTCATAAAAATAAGAAATGAATATTTGGTGTATATGTTTGTGGCAGGAAGGATTTCTTACGAAATCAACATCAGATAAGGGGCTGATCAGTCTAATGTTATGTATGGGAGAAGCACTCAGAACAATTGCCTTTAAAGTCAGAACAGCTTCTTGTGGAGGAACAGCTTGTGTCAACTCTTTTGGAGATGGGCAGCTTGCTGTTGATATGCTTGCAAACAAGCTCCTTTTCGACGTATGCATGATCACTGCTTATATACTCCATCAATAAGTATATAGTAACTTTTAATTTTCATCACAGTTTGACAAAATTAAAAATTGTGTTTAGGCCTTGACTTATTCACACGTCTGCAAATATGCTTCTTCTGAGGAAGTCCCTGAGCTCCAAGACATGGGAGGCCCTGCTGAAGGTTTGTTTAAATTAATAGATAGATACTATTCCTTTAGCACTAAATACTTTTCATAAAGATATACTACAAAGCTGATGTGTCAAAATGAGAACAGGAGGATTTAGTGTTGCTTTTGATCCACTTGATGGATCAAGTATTGTGGACACAAACTTCACAGTTGGAACCATATTTGGTGTGTGGCCTGGAGATAAGCTAACAGGTATCACAGGAAGAGACCAAGTCGCTGCGGCCATGGGTATATTTGGACCTCGTACTACATATGTTCTTGCTCTTAAAGACGTTCCTGGCACCCACGAATTCCTCCTCCTTGATGAAGGTTTGAACATTAACATTTCGCGATATGCTCCTATTTCACTATGTTCAAAGTTTAATATAAAAGTAATTGCAGAAAGTATCTTAAATCCATCGATCCCTACTCTTGAAACAACGATAGAACAACATTGAGCAGACATGTTGACAGAATTTGGAATTTTGTAAACAAGATTTTCAAAGATAATGCAGCTAGAGACTATTCTTTAAACATGTATATTTAAATTCACAAATCCAAACTTAGTTGGTTTCCTCTTATCTCAAGATTCTAATCATGTTTCATTTGGTTGTCAGGGAAATGGCAACATGTCAAGGACACAACAGAAATTGGAGAAGGAAAAATGTTTTCCCCTGGAAATTTGAGAGCTACATTTGACAATGCTGATTATGCCAAGGTTTGACTATCAATATTCAGTTTTCTTTTCAACTAATTACATTTGTATGCCTACCTAGTATCTATTCCACTGACATCACTCATTGTTACGACGTTTAATTCTTTACAACAGCTGATTGATTACTATGTCAAAGAGAAATACACCTTGAGATACACCGGAGGAATGGTGCCTGATGTTAACCAGGTAATTTCATTAAGTACTCTTTCGAGCTCAAGTACCCTTTAAAGTAAATTCACACTTCTTCTTCTTGTCAAATGTGCAGATAATTGTGAAGGAGAAAGGAATTTTCACAAATGTGACATCTCCAACTGCCAAAGCCAAGCTAAGACTGCTATTTGAAGTTGCACCTTTAGGATTCTTGATAGAGAAAGCTGGAGGTTATAGCAGCGATGGGAAACAGTCAGTTCTAGACAAGGTGATAGGAACTCTTGATGAGAGAACTCAAGTAGCATACGGTTCCAAGAATGAGATTATCCGCTTTGAAGAAACACTCTGTGGATCTTCAAGGCTTAAGGCTGCCCAACCAGTTGGTGCTGCTGTGCTGCCTAATTGAGGGCTTGACCGCAGCCTCGACATTATTCTTTCTAGAAATATCTAAATTTCCATGTATAAAATTTCAAGGATGTTGTTCTATGAGGGATCAAGGTTAAGATGTCAAACTTGTGAAGAAAACGGGAGTCAAACAGTTTTCTTTTCCTATATTTTTCTTGGCGAGTCTTTGTTTCTGAAATATAATCTTGTACGGCAACTCTCTCAAATGCTGGAGGGCACAAAGAGAGATGATTTTATGGCTGTATCATTCAATTTAAGTTGAAGTATCATAAATTGGTTTATGTAGCTTCATCCCCTTACTAATCAAACTCAATTCTGTTTGTTAACTAATGCACAAATGAGACTTCGGATAGAGCTAGGATCACAGGTAGGAGTGGCAAATGGGCGGGTCAGGTCGGATATGCTTCCGGTCGAAAAAAAACGGATAAATTATCCGACCTGACCCATATTTAATATGGATAAAAAAACGGGTTAACGGGAGAATAATATGGGTAACCATATTGTCCATGACTTGTTGAATATGATCACTTTTGGGAGAATTACTGGTCTTCTAAACTTGAGGGACCCCCAAATTGAGGCTTTACAAATGTAAAAGTTAAACCCATTAGTTATCCATTTTCTAAATGGATAATATGCTTCTTATCCATATTTGAACCATTTTTAAAAAGTTTATTATCCAACCCATTTTTTAGTGGATAATATGGTTGGTTAACCGTTTTATTTTAACCATTTTGCCACCACTAGGCATGGATTTAACTAACTTTCCTGAAGAAGAATAAAGCTTCAGTCTAATCCAGCAAAATTAGCATTTGTTAATGAAAGGTATAGCAAGAGGACTCACCTAATGTTAAAAGTCATTTCACACAGAAGCACTAACTTGTGGCTCGCTATTTGACATCCTCCTGTTAAACTACTTTAAGTGCTGATAGTAGCTAAGAAACTTGGCCTTGAAGTTATCTGATTTTAATCTCAAACTCCTTGTAAACATAGTCCAAGCTCGAATGATTTCGTTCTTTCTTAGGATACCATAACAAGAAAAGTTTGGAACTATTAAGTAGCAGCAGTTCTTGGCAGTTTATTTGAAATCTTCTCCTTAAGGGAGACAATAGGTTGTTTAGCAAACCAGACCAAAGGCAGCTCTGGATCTACTAGTTTCCAGAAAGGAATGAGCTTCGGGAAGCGACTGATTGAAGAAACAGATGGAGATGGTACAACACCCTTTGGTTTTCTTTGCCCCAACATGATTAGTATAGTGTAATAGATATTTGCAAATGACTTGAGGTGTCTTTAATTCCAAATATTTAACTGTGCGAGAAAGAAAAACTATATAGTTTGAATTTCTTTTCAGTAAGGAATATCAGGTTCTGTCTTTCTTTAATTCTTTTAAATAGCAGTCTCTTATTAATTTCTCTGTTGAGTTTGTTGTTATTCTATTTCTTGTTTCTATATACGTACTTAATAGTTAAAGTTCATATGTTAACTGTTCTAATTTTCTACAGAAGGACGAGAAATGGCGTGGATCAGTTGGAGGATTAGTAGAGGCTCCAATTGACCAAGTGTGGAACTTAGTATCACAAAGTAGTAGACTGTCCGAATGGATGCCAATGGTGGAAAGATGCACTGATTTAGCTGGAGAAGAAGGAATTCCAGGCTACGTTCGGCTAGTTTCTGGTTTCATGTTCCCTCAAAAGGATGGAGACAGGTCCTGGATTAAGGAAAAACTAATTTCTATGGACATTTCATCACATAGTTATGTTTACAAAATGGAAGCAAGCAATGTAGGTCTTGATGGATCAACAAATTCACTAAAACTCTTTGATTATGAAGATAATACAACTCTTGTCAACTGGACATTTGAAATAAATCCACTGGAAGGTGCATCAGAGGACACAATTATGGATTACTTGGGATTTCTTTATAAATCTTGTATTAATAGAATCAAGTATGCTATTTGTGCCTCCTTTCAGAAGTGACTGTACTGGAGAATAGATTGAACATATATTTTTGCTGCGTGCTTTAACAGATGCCAAAATAAATGAAAAGTCAATTTAGAAGTTATTCAGTTTTTTATTTTGAGCCTAAAATAATCTAATCTGCCTCTAGGCTATAATTATTCTATGATTTAAGTTTACTATTAACCAGTTCCAGCTGGTTCCCTATGCCTGGACAACTCCAATCTGAAAAGATTCAAATGCCTTTCGTTCACCGAATTCATTTTACTTTTGAAATTACGGTTCAGAATTTAATAATCGTTAAAATTTTTGTGTTTTTTCATATCTATATTTATCGTGTAGAAAAGACCAAGATAGAGAGTTGTTGTAGCTTGTCTACCAATTTTATTCTGTTTCATTAAAAATGATAATGAGGAAAACAAAAGTTGATTTTGAGGGGGGGAGGGAGCAAGGGATGAGCTGTTACTGTATTACACGTCTAATTTTCCAGCAAATCCTCATTTAGAGCATTTAAACCGCAAATGTTGAAGGATTTTCCTAATCAATGAAAACTATTTCTCAACTAATAGACTGCTTCATCATTAACAATCTTCTAGATGAAATTAGTATTTACATACCATTGTGTAGTTTCATTTCACCATCTTCTATGCAGTATAACTACTTCATATTATGCATTATGGCCCTCGCCAGAGACGAATCTAAAATTTAAATTTGATCGGTTCAACTTTTAAGGTTCTTAAACTGAATTTGTACTTCTGAAATTATGGGTTTAGGGTTTAATATTTATTGAAAATTTAGTAGTTTTTCACGTGATAGTGTCAAAAATACTAGCTTCAGTTGAGGCTATTGTACTAATATATAAAGAATAGAAGGGTTGTGATCTTGTCTAGTGTTTAAGATGAAATACAAACTAGAGTTGCTTTCCTTAATCGTTCTCCAAGTAACTATCCACATTCAATTCAAAACATAGTTTCAAGATTGCTTCTGTTTAAATGCAAAATGACTGAAACAGTTGAGCAATCAACCACGAATATATGTGCTGGAATACGTACTCTGTGATGGTATGATTTCAAACAAGAATTAGTGATTTCAAAGGAGCCTGGATTCATAGATCAAAAGACTACTTTATGTAATATGCAAGAAAACTTTTGTGCATACCTGGACTTGTTCACTCACCTAACCGGGTAAAACGACGTAGCATCTGTTGCGGAAGCCAAATGTATATAGTGTAAATAAGTCACAATTACTATACCAAAAATTAT